GGATATTCCTCTGGGATTGGGATCACTCCTCTGGGATAACTCCCAGGGATCCCAACTCCTTTGGGATAACGCCTTTGGGATAACTTCCAGGAAAACACAGGGATCCCAGAAAAGCCACGGCTATCCCAGAAAAGCCACGGCTATCCCAGAAAAGCCACGGCTACCCCAGAAAAGCCACAGTTTTCCCACACAGCTCGGGCGCAGCAGAACTCACCAGATCATGCCCTCAAAGAGGTTGTGGATGATGAGGTGGGACTGGGTGACCACGATCAGCAGCGTGACGTGGGTCCAGCCGAACTGCGGGAGAGCACAGCGCCCACGCTCGTTAATTTCCTCGTTAGCCATTTGTTAATTAGCACAGGAGCAGGGCCAGGCCTCCTGGGCTGGGCTCTCCTGGCACCGAGCTCCCGAGGCGCCTCTCGCTGCTGGGGAGCTGAGCAGAGAGGCTGCGCTCCTGGCTGAGCCCTTCCAGCCCAAATTTAACATCACCAAAATACTGATTTAACCTCAACAAAACATGTATTTTAACCTCACCAAAACATGAATTTTAGCCCCCCCCAGAGCCCGGATTTACTCACCATGTAGAACTGCAGGCGATAGTGCTTCTTCACCAGACTCAGCACAAACATGCAGAAACCTGAGGGGAGACAGGAGCAAAGTCAGAGCTGGCAATTCCTCCCACAGCCAGGAACCCAAACTCCTTGGGTTAGATTGCAATCAAATATTCTTTTATTTGTATTTTATATTTATAATGTATTTATATATTGTTTATATTTAAATAAAAATAGAACTATTATATATATAATATGTATTGTGTATAGATAATATGTATTATTGTGTTTATATATAAATATGTGTCAGATTTTTAAATAAAAAATATATTTAAGTAAATAATATTTAAATATAAATATAAATATTACATATAAAGTGTATTGCCTGTGAACCATTTGGGGACCCCATGAAGATTTTGGTGTTTTCTCCTCGTTTTGAGGATTTTCCACAACCAAAGCAAGAGTGGCCATGGTGACATCCCCGGGGAGCAAAGGGGGTTCTGTGCCCGGGCAGGTCAGAGCTGCTGCCCACCTGGCAGGTCAGATCCATCCTTGCTGCCCACCTGGCAGATCTGATCTCCTGCTGCCCACCTGGCACATCTCCCCCCTGGCACATCTCCCCCTGCCCACCTGTCAGGTAGAGGGCGAAGGAGATGAAGCGATGGTATCGGCTGAGGATCCGCAGCGGCTCCTCCCTCTGCACCAGCGTGAAGAAATAATCCGTCACCGTCTCCCCGTAGAAGAAATAATTCACACACAGCAGGAAGTACCTGGGGAGAGGGGAAATAATTCATACACAGCAAAATATACCTGGGGAGAGGGAGAGAAATAATTCACACACAGCAGGAAGTACCTGGGGAGAGGGGAAATAATTCACACACAAACCTGGGAAAGGAGGGAAATAATTCACACACAGCAGGAAGTGGGGTTAGTGGGGTTTTGGGGTGGGTTAGTGGGGTTTTGGGAAGGAATTCCAGGTGAGAGCCCAGCTGGGTGCCCAGGTGAGAGCCCCTCGCTCACCAGCTGAGCGTCCTGAACCAGGGCAGGTCGTAGGAGTGGTAGACGTTGTAGCCAATGGTGATGATCTCGTGGAAGCATTTGATCTGCACACACATCACCTGCACAGGGAGGACACCAGGCACTGAAACCCCCCGTGGGTTCCACACCTCTGCCCCTGAGGGGACAAAGCAGCACCTGCAGGGCACCTGCTCCTCCAGCAGCCACCAGCCCTGCAGGAGCCTCCCAGTCCCCCCGGGAAACTCTGCGTGGAGATTTTCCCTCCCAGTCCCCCTGGGAAACTCTGCGTGGAGATTTTCCCTCCCAGTCCCCCCCAGGAAACTCTAGGTGCCATTTCTGCTTCCCAATCCCATTTTTCCCTCCCAATCCCACCTGGGATGCTTAGGGCATCATTTTTCCCTCCCCAGGGAAGCTCAGGCTGTGACTTTTCCCTCCCAATGCCACCTGGGATGCTCAGGGTGTTGTTTTTCCCTCCCTTTTCCTCTGCACACACATCCTTGTGTGAGTTGCAGGTATTGAGCAGCAGATTCCTCCAGGGACAGAGGAACCCAGGATCTCTGGAACACAGGGCCCTGAGCTCCCCAGCAACCTCCCCCTGCTGCAGGGAAGGTCAGGACACCTCCCTGGAGCACTTACAATTGTCATCAGGACCATGGGGCCCAGGTAGATGATGATGAAGAAGAAGGTGATCATTGCCAGCGTGAGGATGCCCCTCACCCACCAGTTCTTCCATCTGGGCCACGGAGAAGGAAAACATCAGAGAAAGACAAGGCAGAGCAAAGCAGCCACAGAAACTTCTGCTCTCTGTGCACCACAGGAAGGAAAGTGAGCACTGGAAACCCCAAATTTCCTCTCAGTGGGGCACAGAGGCCTCGATGTGCTGATGAAGGCCTGGCTGCAGCAGCTGCACTGAGTGCAGAGAGCTGAGCACCTCCCAGGGCAGCCTCTGCTCCTGCTCTGCAGCTTTCCCACCCCTCGGTCAAGCTGCAGGGTAAATTCCCAAAAAATGGGGAGCATTCCCCCTCTCCAGGAGGAGAGATGGCCCCTGGCTGCTGGACCCTCCTGCTGGGAGCCTCTCCCACGACCAGGGAAGTGACACCTCCTCCTATGACACAAACATTTCCTCCCAGGCAGATGTGGAGGACATCCCCAGCTCGTTCCCAACTCCTGCCTCACCAGGGCAGCTCCCCCAGCACTCCTGCAGAGCTCAGGGTGATCAGAGTTACAGCAGGGGCTGAACCCCCACGAGTCAAAGCCCCCCACAAGCTCCTGGACCTGCCAGGACCCAGCACTGCTCTGTCCCCTCCCTTCCCACCCAAATCCTGTCCCCTCCCTTCCCACCCAAATCCTGCCCCCTCCCTGTTGCCCTGATTTTTAAAAGTGTTAAGTTTTCTTTTATAGCTCTTTTGAAAGTTTTAAAGTTCTCATAAAACTTCTTTAAACCTTCTGATAATGTTAACATGTTTAAGAGTCAGAGTTCCCACACGATTTCATGTAAAAATAGAATAATTTACATATTTCTCTGTGGGTGGAGAGAAAGGATTGACTGATTGATCTTTGGACCAGTGTGGTTGGAGAGGTGGAGATTCCATCCTCCAATCCACAGTCACCTTTAGAATTCTATAAATACCAGATGTTGGAATAAAACTGTGATGGATAGGATGGATGGACAGGGATGGATGGACAGGGATGGATGGACAAGATGGTCAGAGCCCTGCCCAGGGAGTGTTTTTACCTCGAGGACAGGTTGGAGAGGGCCCTGTTCAGCACCTCTGGGGTGTCATCTGAGGTTGGCACTGGGGAGGAGCCCCCAAACTCGGACTTGCTCTCGCTGTCTGACGCTGTCTCTCCATCCAGCCTGTTCTCAGACTCCGACTCCTGCAGCACAAACAGAGCCAAGGAGCTTTAGCAGCCACTCTGGGCTGGCCCCAGCACTCACCAGCTCTCTGCTTCTGCACCAGGGAGGGAGGAGAAGGAAATACCCTGGCTACCACCCAGGCCTAAACACATGAGAGCAGCCTCAGGTGTTTCAGTGGATCCAGGAGGGCTCTGAGGGTGCCTCAGCCTCAGCAGCAGGCACAGAACAGGGCCTGCTCCCCCTGCACAGCCACAGACACCTCCAGGCTGATTGATGAGCATCTCCGAGCACTCCAGGGCTTGTTAGCAGGAATTCCCACAAGGTCCCAGTCCCCAGGCAGGTGTCAGAGAATGTAGCACTGCCCAAATCAGCCAGGAAGGAAGGCCTCCAAGTGGGCAGGCTCCAGGCTTGGACAGACTTCTGAGGCGCCGGCTGCTTGAGGACACTAAAAATAACCCTGAGCCCATCCCCAGGCAGCTGGGGAGGAAGAGCCTGGCTTATCACCCTGGCCCAGGCATCCCCCGTGGCCAGGAGAAACCCAGCTGCTGCAGAGGGACACTGCCAGGCCTCTCGGGGTCTGCAGGTGACCCCAGGGATGTAAAATCCTTGCTGCCCAGCCCATGCAGCCAAAAAAGTCAGAATGCCAAAAGCAGGGTCAGCTGCTCTTACTGATGTTTATTTTGATTGTGTTTATTTGCTGTTTATTTTCTCTTATCTATAGGTTGTTTATTTTTCTTATCTCTAACACACTTTCTCCAGGAGCTCTGTCCAGCAGGTCAGTCTGTGACAGACTCCCACCCCCCTGGGGTGGTGTTTACTATTTTATACCAAAAACTACGTGTGCTATGTTTACAATAACACACCAATATCTGTCATTTATGTTGGACAGCATGTCTGTACCTCAAACAAGTAGAAAAGTCACTAGCAGAGCAAGACATGGAGGGCAAGGAGAAGAAGAAGGTCAGGAGACACCCAAATCCCTCCATCTTGTACCCTTGAACCCCTTATTTTAAAACCCTAAAATTCTACTTTTTCACCCTGTGTAAATGCAATTACCACATTACTCAAACCCTTGTGGCTTGTAATTCCTCATACAGAGCTGGCAGTTTTTTCCATGGGCTAAAATGGAAGCCACAGGTGTTTTTGACTTGGTGCCAGGGTCTCTGAGCCCCTGCCAGGGTCTCGGGACATCCAGGGCAGCCCAGAGCCAAGTCCTGTGCCTGGGGCTGAACAAGCCCAGCTCTGCCAGGCCTGGGAAGGGGATCCCAGGCGAGTCCTGACTCTTCCCAGGCCACTCTTCCCCCTGGCCCAGCCCCTGAGCAGGGACAAAGCCCCAGCTGGGCAGCTGGCCCAGCTCCAGCAGCACAGCTCCTGCTCCTGCAAGGAAGGAAAAGGCCATCCCTGGGGAGCATCCAGGCAGGCAGAGTCCCTGCCCTTGACCTCTGGAAACTCCCTGAAAAGTGACTGTGCCTGCAGGAAAAGCTCAGGGGGAGCTGAGCTGCCGAGTGCTGGCAGCTCTGCCAACAGCGAGGCTCTGGGGATGAACTCCCATTGTCTGCAGAGCTCCAAACAGGCTGGGGTGCCTGCAGCTCAGCAACGCTGGGGCTGCTCCCTTATTTAAAGCAGGAAAAGGTAATTATTCCCTGCCAGTGGCTGCAGGCCAGGCTCTGAAATCAGCCAAGGACAAGGAGGTGCTGTCAGGTGGAGGCAGCTAAAAATACCTCCGTGATGTCAGAGATGATTCCCAGGGATGAGCAGAGCTGCAGCCAGCAGCACCCAGTGTCACCCAGTGTCACCTCCCCTTTCCATTCATCTCTGGGAGGGAGGTTTGGCTTTGCCCTCAGCCCCACACCTCTGCCAGCCCTCACACGGCTCTGGGGGGCTTTGGCAGTGAAATGCAACCTGGCTTTTCCCTCAGGGGGTTTTTAACTGACCCAGAAATCCCATCTGGAGCAGCTTTGGTGCCACTCAGCTGGGAACACACATCCATATGGCAGCAGGCAGAGACTGGAAATGATAACACTCCCTGGAGAGCACAGATTTGGCATCTCCTACCCAGCACAGGTCAGGCTTTGGGCAATCTGGGCTCTGTATTTAGCTGCTCCCATTGCAGTGTGCTCTCCAATAACAGGAATTCTGCAGAATTCCTCTGGGAGCAATCAGAATAGCTCCAGCCAGACCAAACTCGGCTTCTCCTGTGCCCAGGCTGAAATCCAGATCCTCCAGCACGTTTCTCACCCAGTCCCAGTGTCCCTCACCCCACACAGCTCCCCAGCCTGCCAAAAGGACCCAAGCAGCACCCCCGAGTTTTACAGCCCAAAGCCAAAGCAGGAAATTCCTGCCTGCAGGATCAGAGGCTTCCCAAAGTGCTCAGAGAGCAGGAGGAAGGGACAGAGCTCCCGTGCTGCCTCACTGCCAGGCCTGGCCAAGAGGGGAGGAAAGGAAAGCTCCAGGAATGAGGAATCTGACGGTGGGACCGAGCTGATGTCCTGATCCCCTCCGAAACC